TCTTTGTTTGACATCACTTCCGGCTTCCACTGTCAATGAATCGATAGTGTGTGTTGCTAATGCTGGCTTGTTGCATCCTAACTGATGGAATGGGAGATGGATTTTAACCCTAATCTGTGTTTTAGCTACCGAAAACGGGTCTATAATATGATTTATTCCTCCACGTCATACAGTGACTGTGAATCATGCAACTGACCTGAAGAATCATCCCCACTCTTGATATAGCAGTATGCCGGGAAGTTGACCGTATCGGCTGGCCATTCTCAAATCGAATATCTGTTTCCAGTTGGATTATTCTTGGTAGCCTATTTGCTGATATGCGTCGCGCATGCCCCAGTCAACCTACCCCACGGAGGTCGAGGAATGACTTTACTGAGCGGCTGCGATTGCCTAAAGCTCTGGCACATCCTCCAAAGAGAGGCGACGGTCTACTGAATCGAAAGACGCTTTAAAATTGAGTAAAGTAGAAGTGAGGGATCTACGAAAAGGTTGTCTGAGTTCCATAATTTGGCGAGAAGTGAAAACATCGATGCAACCTCGACCTGGTCTCGGTTCTCACGCGTGCACCGTTCACATGCTGATGAGCAAACTGAAAAATCACACCATGTTCGTACTTTTGCATTTAAGGCCCAGACGTGAGGTCAAATAATTTGTGGTTGTTTGACTTTTTGAATCGCTGTCTGCATTCTACTTGAGGCATCGGTCCCCAAAATTAACGGAAAAATCACTAATGGAAAGAAGTGCTCCCTACACAAGCGCTCCCAAGAGCCTTGAGGTTGTCTTGGAACGGTTGAACAAATGAGATTTGTCTCCGCAAACCATGATGTAGATAACCTCGGTTCCGTCCTGTTGTTAAACTAGTTTATTCCGATATATCAGTGACCTAGTGGTTGTGGCGGTGTTTTAGTCGGTATCACCGGCATGGTTTAGAACTTATGGTCCGAGATTCGAGCCCAGCCACCTCAATATTGTGGTGGGCAGCTTTCAGTGCACTTCAGTTTTTATAGCCACTAACCATGCACTTTCGTGCGCCATTTTGTTTGCTGTATGCTGTCGTCCAGTTCAATACCACACCTAACCTAGTGGGGCCTTATGTGATTCACGACTCTAAGTTCCGGGGCTTAGGTTACCGGTTTCCGTGACTGAACAGCGGGTCTTCGTGACTACGGAGTTTAGCCCGTTTACTATTCATCACACTAAGGTGTGTAATAAAAAAGCTTGCACGTATTCAATTTCCTTACCTGTCTGACGAAGTTTGTTCAAGTGAATATTTTACCGTATTCACTCAATAAACAGAATAAATTTTCCAAATGTATGCAGTTCACCCAACAACCCTTTTAAATCCATTGCTAATTTCCATCCGATTTCACCTCATACAGTGTAATGTATTTGTTATTCAGTCAGTTTCAGTTAATGCATTTTTATGCGTAACTATTGTTTGAATATCGATATAGATCCTGACCCCGCTATCACGACATACTATCGGTTAGCTTATTTGTTTTCACCGAAAGCTACAGACGGATTGGGCTTCAGTGTCATCTTTACAGTTCATTTCTTTGTGAAAAATGGTTCTCGAGTTAATATTTCTGAAACTTGGCAACTTACGCCACCAGTTTCGCCAAGCTAGGTGGATTTATGGTGCAAATAACGTCTTCTGCATTCTTCAGAGACCAATCCAGTTAGCCCCGCGCATCTGGTATTATTTCTCTCATTCGTCATGTTTGATTACGTGAGGTGTTTGCAGAATTACCATGACATCCGTTTGTCCGTGAACGCTCCAGTTGTTGCAACAGTAGCCTTACTGTCTGGTTCGGAATAGTCAGTTAGATGCAGACTACTGAATAGTCGCAACTGTTCTTGTATTCAGCTATTTGACGTTCACAGTGAAAAAAAACACGAGGGCCTTAAGATTACATTCAATGGGTAACCGATGTATAGCCATGCCATTGAAGGCCCGCTGAGATGGCGTTTTTTCTTAAAACTTCGTCTCACTTAATATCCAGCAGACGGGCCCTTAAAAGCTCTTGTTCCGTTCGAGATTGCCTTTTGTACCATTTAACCCACATTTTCCTGTGGTTATTGGTGTGGGATAATTTATATTGATCTAAACTGACCATCCTTCAGATTTCACATTCAGTTATTCTGGTGAGACAGCTGTCCAAATAGAAAAAAATGATCTACTCCCTCTACTGCTTACCCAGTCAGGGTGAGGTTGGCGTCTGGGCCAACTCAATCTTGCAGCAACTTTTTACACTTTGTAGGTGCGAAACGCATGATAAACGTGGCCATGCTGGCACTCAAGCTATCCATAAAAGCTTGCAGCTTACCTGAATTTTCACTTAGTAATACGGTCTGCATACTCGTCTGCATACTCCAGATGAGATAGTCTACCACCTGGGAGCTAATTGATGCAGCTATCCTTGCACGAGGATAGTGCTGGTTCCACAATCAAATCTATAGCGAAGTTAAATAGAAAAGGAGAGAGAGGACAGCCCTTACGCACACCGCTTTCCCTGGTGAACTCGGGTGAAAAGGTGCAGTAAGTTGATACCAAACTCCCAAGTATCTTCATGATCATGATAATGGAACCCGCTTATCTTTTCCAAGAAGCCAACCGTAGTAAAGTAAAAGTAGCTGAACTGGGATTCGGCTTCGGCTATTAGTATAGGGGATTGTAGTATTGAAATAAATTTCTCGGGCACACCTTTTAGATAGAGCCAGCGCCGGAGTTTAGATCGGTCNATCGGTCGACTGAGTCGAAAACCACCTTCAGATCGAGGAAGATAATGATGATGGGTTAACGAAAGGAGTATCTATGTTCTAAGATCTGACGTAGAGTAAAAATATGGTGGGTACAGCGTGGACCAGGTCTAAAGCTAACCTGGTTCCCACGCGTGCACTGTTCGTGTGTGGCAAGCAATCGAGGGAGTATAACACCAGCGAGGGGTTTAGAAACACTGTTGATTGACTTAGTTCTTCTGTAGTTTTAACCAGGCGATCTGTCACCTTGTAATTCGGTAAAATGAAAGGTGACAGATTCTCTTGTGCGAACCACTGAAGCCCAAATTTTAAGAAACCGACGATCGCAAAATTCATAACTTTGTCCGAAAAAAAACAAAAGAACAAAGTTGTGAACTGAGTGAACCTACGGAATTAGATGAATGGTTAGAGCGTAAGCGTTCATTTAACCAAGTGAATTGGTCAACGGTTCAGAATACATCAGAGGCTTTAAAGTAATTACGTTTTCGTACATTTTCTATCACACTTGTTCCTTGCCTAATGCTGCTTTTCCACGCTCGTTGTCTATATTCTTCTTCACCTCGGAAATCGGAGGTTGGATACTCCTCAGCCCATAAAAGAGCTTGAAAGACACCCATGAACAATAGGCTGTTTCCCGACTTATTTGCGGCTTTATCGATCGACGAAACGACGAGACTGCACCTTGACGTGGTGTGATGGCTTGCGCGCCTCAGTGACCCTGCGAGCTACACAGGATGGCTTCTCACAGCCGCAGATCCAATCATGCCTGAAAGGTCAACGGGTAGAGGCCAGACGAAGA